CGAAACCCTCAGTGGGACCGCCCGCATGCGTCCCGGAAAGCAAATTTGTCATTTTCGCCCACCCAGTACAGCGTTTCGTGGCCCCTGAGGGAGCTCCACCAACGGCCCCAATGCTACCGCCCGCATGCGTTCCCCCCCACCCAGTGCAGCGCTTCGTGGCCCCATAGAGAGCTTCACCGAAGAGGATACTCACAATTGCGGTACCCACAACTGCATATGGTCGGGTCCTTCGCCAGGATGATTATGTGTCCCTCTCTCCATGCTGCGTTATTTCTCCATCTCTCTCCCCCTCTTTCCCCGTTGTGCCTCTCTCGCTTTCTCTCTCTCTCTCTCTCTCTCTCCACATCTCTGCCTCAGTCTCTTGTGTCCGCTTGCTCTCTCTCTCTCTCTCTCTCTCTTTCCCTTCCCCTCCCTCTCTCTCTCTCTCTTTCTCTCGCCCTCCCTCGATATGATTCTCCATCCGTATGTAAAGAGACGTGTCTCCCCCATGCCTCTGTCTATGTCTATATATACACATACATCTTTACACATATATATATATACATATATATATATATGTGTGTGTGTGTATTGTATCGCTCGTTCTCTCACACGCGGGCTGGGTTACTTTACCTCGGACACGTCCTCGTGATACAATATTGTGAGGTGGGCATTGCCACCCGAATAATAGGTACACATTGAGTCAAGTCCAGCAGTGATGGCCACAAACCCTCACAGGCCGTGCCCTCGAACATCATTAGAAGGTAATCGATGTCCTTGGCCCTGCCTCGACGGAAGGCAAGCCCACCTCTCGCTCTCTCCCTTGTTCTCTCAGGCCCGTTTTCCTTGATCTCACCATCCCTTGTGTCTCTCTCTCTTTCTCTGTCTCTCTCTCTCTCTCTCTCTCTCCCTTTTCCATATCGTTCCTTATCTACGCAATTGTATGTGTATGTATATATATATATATATAGATACATGAACGATTATCTGAGTGAGGGGGGCGAGCAATCATTCATTGTCCCTGGGTGCGTGGTTAAAGTTGGGATCCGTGGTGAGGATTCTGCTTGTTGCGTTGTTGTTGTTGTTGTTGTTGCTGTTGTTGTTGTTGTTGGTTGTCGTCGTCCCCCCCGCGACCCACCCCGCGACCCACCCGCGACCCACCTTGCGACCCAGCCCGCGCCCCACCCGCGACCCACCCCGCGACCCGTTCGCGACCCAGCCGCGACCCGCCCCGCGACCCGCTCGCGACCCAGCCGCGACCCACCCACGACCCGGCCCGCGACCCACTTGCGACCCAACCCGCGACCCTCAAGAAAAGTCGCTTGCGGCGGGCTCGTTATATAGCTTGAGAAATGTTGCGCCTGCGGCAGGCTTCTTCAGAGCCTCGCAGACTGCCGACGTCCCCGCCGCCCCCTCACTCGCGGGGTCGCGGGTGGGTCGCGGGCCGAGTCGCGGGGGGGACGACGACAACAAACAACAACAACAACAACAACAACAACAACAACAACAACAACAACAACAACAACAGCAACAACAACAACAACAACACCAACACCAACAACAACAACAGCAACAGCAACAGCAACAGCAACAGCAACAACAACAACGTAACACGCAGGATCCCCACCACGGATCCCAACTTTAGCCACGCACCCAGGGACAATGAATGACCCTTCGGCCCCCTCACTCTAATGAGCAGACCTCCCAACCCGCCCACCCTTCATACCGCGGCCGCCAGATCCCCACTTCCACCGAGTGTCCCACGAGTATCCCGCCGCCTGCGCCTTCGACGAGCATGACAGAACTCAACTGAACAGCGCATACCACAACATGGCATGGCCGAGCACAACATGGCAGAGCAGAGCATGCCAACACAGAGCATGACGCTGCAACACACGACGCAGCGTCACAGCAGACCTGTTCCCCAGCAGACGTGCCCCCGCTTCAGAGCATGGTGGCGCTGTCTGCGGCGGCCCCCCTCTCGGCGGGCGCCCGACCCCCAAGTCCGACTTCGAAGTCAGCTCGGCACAATGGGCTGCGGCGGGGGAGTGCAGCTGCTGAGGCAGGGATGGTGCAATATTCGGACTTTTGGAGTTCGAGAAGGAGGAGGAACAGGAGGAGACGGGGCGGAAGAGGAGAAGGAGGAGGAGGTGGGAGGGAGAGGAGACGGAGGGAGGGAAGATGAAGGATGGAGGAGGGAGGAAGAGAAGGGAGCTGGAGGATGAGGAGAAGGATGAGGACAGGCGCCGAAAGTTTCGGTGAGGATCGCTCGGGTCCCAATAACTTCCTCTCTATTGTTGTATCTTTGTCTGTCTGTCTCTCTCTCTCTCTGTCTCTCTCTCTGTCCCTCTCTCTGTCCCTCGCTCTTTGTCGTAAGGTCTCTCTCTCCCTCTCTCTCCCCCACCTCTCTGTGTATACCTATATATATATATGTATATATGTGTATCGATCTCTGTACATATATCTGTATATATATATATCCCCCCTCTCTTTTTATCTATGTATCTAATTGCACAGGTATGGGCTCCTCGGCGCTGGGCCGTTGCCCCCGCTAAACAAAGTCTGGCTCCCCTAGACTTCCTGGACCATGCGTGGGCGTCCGCTCGGTCTACCGTGCCTTCTGAACGCCCCTGCCGGGCCCAGAAACTACTTCCAACGTGGTCAGGATGGCGACCAAACGGTCCCGCGAGAGCCCCGGGCGGCCCCCGAGAACCCCGAAAGGACCGAAGACCATGCATTCAGAGAAGACCCCCAAGCGGCTTTCCAATGATCCTTGAAAACAATGACTTTGTTGTTTGCACGGCTTTGGAGCACTCGGCTCTTCGGTCTCATGGGCTTCCCAAGCCGCCCAAGGGACAGAACGCAGCATCAAAACCGGCCACAAGGCCATCCTGGAAGTCCAGAAGAGCCAACCGACGGTCCAACATTGCCCAAAAGGTAGTCCGAATGGAGCTCCATGACAGTCCAGGAGGTTATTCCCGTGTCTCTCTGGCTTTCCTTCTCTTCCCCCCCCTCTCTCTCCCTCTGGTTCTCTGTGTTCCGATCTGTATATACGTATCGTCGTAGGTCTCCGAACTATACATGCATATATGTACACTCATAGATCGCTATTGGTCCCTCCCTCTCTTTATTTCTCTCCCCCTCTCTCGCTCTCTCTCTCTCTTCTTCTATATCTCTCTCTCTCTTGCGCCCCCTACCACTCACAATATTAGACGTATGCACGCACATGTATGTACAAGGTAATCACTTATGCATATACATGCGTATGTACATATATATATATATGTATATATATGCGTTCCCCCCTCCCTCAGTCCACTCATGTTGCTTGACTGGTGTACGCTGCTCGACGTGATCGAGATGGGGATGCCCTCGTAGATGTGCGCATGCACGCGCAGGTGGAGAGACGTGCACCTGACACGCGCCTAGCGAGCGTTTTGACTCTTCCAGGGCGGTTGCCTGAGGCGGAGATCTTGTTCACAGGAAGAACCGCACGTGCCAGCAGCTAGGAATTTGGTGTGAGGGGCCTCGCGAGTCGTTCGAGATGCCTTGCCCTTTGTTCGGGATGTGACTTGCAGCTCCCTCTTCCTGTGTTCGCCCTCCCTCTCTGTCTATGTGTTTATTGAATCGCTTCGCTCATTCCGCCGGCCCGTGATATGGCATCGCTGGTTTTTGTCTGTGTGTTCGTTGCCCATGTTGCGCTCTTGGGGGCGGGTGTCGTTCGGACGCGTTGCGTGGGGAGTTTTGATGGTGAAGCAGTTCCCTGGGGGTCGTCTCTCGATGGGGCGAAATAGAGTCGTCGTCAAGATGCTTCTTTGGGGGGCCTCTTGGGGTCTGTTGAGAGGCCGTTCGGGGGCGCCTGGGAGACATGTTTGAAGCCTTCTGGGGCTTCTTTTGGGCCTCCTGGGAGTCTCCTGGGGCCTCTTGGCGACATCTTGGGGCCTCTTGGAGGCCTCTTGGGGCCTCTTTGGGACCTCCTGGGCGCCTTCTGGGACGGAGGGCTCCATTTTTGAGTTCTCGGTATCCCTCCTGAGTCCCTCTTGGGCCCGTCTTGGGGCCTCTTGGTCCGTCTTGGGCGGCACTTGGGCCGTCTTGAGGGCTCTCTTGGGTCGTTTCGGCGCCGTCTTGGGAGCTTCGTGGGCCGTCTTGGAGCGGTCTTGGGGGCCTCTTGGGCCGTCTTGGAGCGTCCGGAAGCCGAAAAAGCCAGAACACAAAAAACATCGAAAAAACCAATGAAAATCAACGATTTTGGCCTCTTGGGGCTCTCTTCGGAGGCCTCTTGGAAGGCTCTTGGGGCGTCTTGGAGGCCTCTTGGGCTGTCTTGGGGGCCTTTTGGGCCGTCTTGGGGTCATCTTCGGCGTCTTCGAGCGCTCTTTGGGCGTCTCGGGGGCCTCTTGGGCAGTCTTGGGGGCCTCTTGGGGCACTCTGAGCGCGCTCTGGGGAGCCTGAGAGGCCGCACCCAGAAGGAAAACCATCTCTGAGTAGACGGTCGGGCGGCGGTCGGGCGGCGACCGGGCGGCGACCGGGCGTTGGTCGGGGTACTTTTCGCCGGGGGACCCCCAGGGGCCGCCCCGCGCGCGCGAACTAGAAATATTGTTAATACTGTTAACCAGTTACCGGAGATCTTAGCACGCCCTGGCCCGTTGGGCCGGCGAATTTGGTTTGTTTCTCTCGCCCTCTCTCTCTCTCTCTCTCTCTCTTCCTCTCCATTTGTCTATCTTTCGTTTGTTAGATTCGTTTCTCTCTCTCTCTCTCTCTCGGTCTCTCTCTCTCTCTCTATCTCTCCCCGACGCGCCCCTACACCAGAATTTTCAGTGGCACGACCGCGTATTACCTTCTGAAGACCCACCCAGAACAAGGGAACCATGACAACACGTCTCTCGTGCGATCTGTGGCGACAGTGGCTATGTCTGTGGCAACAAAAACTAGTCGGCCGATCTGATGTTCAACTGGGTCTCGCAACGCTTCCACAATTCTGGGGCAAAACCCATTCTCCTTGCCCCGCTGTGGTCCAAGCCGAGCTCCCAGTGGTAGGTACAAGTCCGTGACGCTGGGGAAAACGGTTGAGGCAATCGTGGAGATGATAGACAACCAGCGGTACGAGGCATCTTCCGCCCCGATTGGATCGCCCATTTTCGTTGCCGCGAATACAGGAGCCCGCGTTGGTTCAAGGCGTTTGGGATCGGATTCTGTTCTTTTTTCTTTTCTCGCAGTTCAACACCTCCGCCACGACCCTGCTCGCGCTGGGCACTGCCTGATCGCATGACACGTTGCACGACGCTCGGAACATGTCTTTGTAGTGTCGAGTCGCTGCCCCCCATAGCACCGATACGCGATGCTAAGCTATGAGCTTCAATATCTTCTGGGGCCGTGCTGTGATACGACGACAAGTATGAGAAGTGCTAGAACGAAGTTAGTGTCGCAACGAGTAGTAACAATACTCAGTATCTGTAGTAGCTGGTATGAGAACCGTGTCCGTTTGCGGTCATCCTGGCGGGAGTGGGAGCAGTTATAGTGGCAGAAGCAGCCGTGGTCAGCGTAGCAGCGCAGACAAGGGCGAGGATGCAGAGGGGAGTGAAGGGAGGCGGGCAAGCACGTCGATGGTGGAGGCGAAGCCGTACGGAAGAAGCATGGCGAGAGTGGCACCGTCGGCAAAACACCGTTTTCCGTCGCGGCGCGGCAGAGGCCATCCGCCCGCGCATCCCAGCCACCTGGGCTACGGCATCGGGAGGAGGAGGGAAAGACGAGAGCCGGCCGCACCGCCAGTAAAGCGCGCTGATCGGCGGCGAGCGTGGGGGGGCAGGCGAGAAGGGGCGGGCCTCCTCAGAAGGTCCGGAAGTTCCCCGGCCTCCTGAGAAGCTTTCCAAGCCTCCCCCGACGACAGAGAAGACCTCTCAGAAGGCGCGAGGGCTCCTGAGAGGTCCCGCCGCCTCCTGAGAAGGCCCTCTCCTGCTCACTTCCCCCCTCCTCTCGGGTGGACCCAAAAGGGGGTCCAGCGACAAGGGGGTGGTGCAATAGATCTGGTGCAATAGAATTGTGGTTTTGGAATACATTTGGGGCGTGCAATACATGTCGGGGCGCAAATGCATTGCTCATTTTCGCATGCAACACAGTACTTGCAAGACAATGCAATACATGCCCCAAATCTATTGCACCACCCCCTTTCAGCTGGACCCCCTCTTGGGCCACCCAAAGTGCTGCCGCCGCAAGGCCTCCACGAGCGACGAGCACCTCCATGTGCAAAGATGCCCTCGTGGTCTGGATACGGAGCGCAATCCATTTGCCACATGATTGCCCCAACTCTGTTGCACCACCCCCTTTGTCAGCCGGGCCCAAAATATGGATTGGAATCACTAAACCAGGTCTGCCGTAGCTGGTGTTTTTCGGGTGACGGCAGTTCCGGTTAGTGGAATGGGGCGGGGGGGGCGTTCCCCAGTACACATCACTAAACCAGGTCCCACTACACCCAGTTCTGCCAACTCCTCGCTCGCCGCCGAGCCGAGAGGCGGTGCCCGTGCAGCAGGCGCGGCCGGGCAGGGCACCCAGCAGGGCACCCCACCGCACGCCCGGCCCCCACCCGCGCGGGGCGGCCGCGAGGCGAGGGCCACGGGCGGCCACCGCGGGGGGAGGAGTGCGAGGAGGAGGAGGAGGAGGAGGAGGAGGAGGAGGAGGAGGAGGAGGAGGAGGAGGAGGAGGAGGAGGAGGAGGAGGAGGATGGAGGAGGAGGAGGAGGAGGAGGATAGGAGGAGGAGGAGGAGGAGAAGGAGGAGGAGGAGGAGGAGCAGGAGGATGAGGAGGAGGAGCATGAGGAGGAGTCCAAGAGCACCCTGAGACGGCCCCGAATGCCCCAAGGCTGCCCACGATGCCCTCCAGGCAGACCAAGAGGCTCCACCAGGCCCGCCCGGAAAGGACCGCGTCGGCGTGCGAGTTCGTGTGGCACCCGCTTCGTTTTGAGCCACCAGCCTGGCACCAGGGCAGGGCGCAGTTCGATTCTTCCAATTCGATTCGGCTCGATTTCGGTGGATTTCGAGTCCGGTTCGGTTCGACTTCGGATTCCCATTTGGGCTCGGGTTTCTCATTGGAGGCCTATTAGCCTTCCGATTTCTGCCGATTCGACTTGTTCCGACTCGGTTGCCGATTTCGCCGATCTGATTCATTTCGATCGCCCATCCGACTTCTGGGCTCTCCTGCCAGGCGAGGCCCCGACACACCCACCCGATCACCTAAGACGAGAAGTCAGCTGCCCCTAAGTGCAATCACCGTTACTCGGAACTGGTCTCTGGACTTGTTTCGTTATCCCTCGATGTGCCTCCACATGGTCGCTCGTCAAGCGGGCAGCGTAACATACCAAAGATTTCTGGGAACGTCGAGGGGTCAGAGTCATTCTACTGGCCTGTTCACGCGTCCAGGTGGAACTCTCGTTTGTCGAGAGCATGGGCATGAGAAAGTTGGTGCCGTTCGCCGCCATCGCAGGCGCCGCTTTCTGGCATTCCCTCTCCCTCTGGCGGTGCAGGGGCAGGAAGTGGCGCCCCTGTCTCAGGCCTTCTCTTGAGCAGCATCGGTTCTCTCGCTGGGTGGAACATATTCCACCCTTGAGCCAAACGAACGCGTGCGGTGATGCTTCTCCTTGTGCGCACGTGCGTTTGTAATTCTGAGTGTTTGTTTGTTAGTTTGTGTGTGTTTGTAGCGTGTGTGTGCGTGTGTGTGTGTGTGTGAATGTGTGTGTGTGTGCGTGTTTGTGTGTGTGTGTGCGCGCGCGCTCGTGGATGTGCGTGCGTTAGGGACGTACTCCCCTTCTGTCGTGCGCTCGCACTTGTTGCCGAACGCACGTCGAATATGCGCCAGGCTTTGGAGGCGGATCCAGCCGTGGCAACGACGGGGCTTCTGGAGGTTCACACAGGGCGAAGAGCGTCAAACCCTGAGTACTCCTCCTTCTTCCTCCCGCCTCCTCCGCCTTCCCTCTCCTCCTCCTTCTCCATCAGGCCATGGGCCTCTCCCCTTCTTCAATCCTAGCCTTGAGGCGTCAGGCGTCGCACTCGGTTGCCAGTAAAAGTCCAGGTCGTTGTCTTACCACGGTGCTCTCGTTATTATATGCTGAACGCGAGCCCTTCATTGCTTTGAGGGCTCAGGTTTTATACACGTGGTTTGACATGTGGAACCGCTTTCCTGAGATGCACGCCCGTATCACCCGCTCGTGGCATCACATTCGGGGCCGACTTGACATCATGGCCTCGAAACGCTGGCGTCGGGTGCGGGGCCCGATTGGTGCTGTCGTCGCCACGTTACTTGACGTTGGTTGGAAGCCTGTGTCCCCCGTCGAGTGGCACAGACCTGTGGGCGACCAATGTGAGGTTTGGCAGGTTCCAGATCGGGACGACATTGAGCGTCTCGAGGGCGACTTCGATGTCGCTGAGTTGGTTGACGATTTCAAGGAAGATTTGAATGCTGTGTTGTGGGCTCAGGCCTCGCCCCACCCCCACGGCGACGACCTGGCCGAGGGGGCTGACCTCCAACCCTTGCGCCAGGAGTTTAGGTGTCTCGAGCAGCGGGATCAGTATGAGCAGGTTGGTCTACTCACGACTGTTGTGTCGGGGGGCCAGTGGACCCATGTCCGTCAACATGAGGCGGGGTACGCGGTTTCCTCTACCTGCCCCCGCTGTGGTTTGGCTCCCGAAACTCTTTTTCACCGTGTGTGGGAATGTCCCAAGAATTGCAATCATGAGGCCTTTGGGTGTTCGGACGGCCTTAGTCATCAGGCCCGTGTAGGCCATGAGGCTAACCCAGCCCTGTGGCTCCGTCGCCTCCCTCCCAGGTCTTTAAGTTGTCCTGCGTTCAAGGACGGGGGGGCGGATGTGTCGTGGGAGGTGGGGTCGTCGCCGTCGATGGTCGAAGGATCCTCTGTCGCCGCGGCCAGGTCCCCTGCGGGGCTCCTGCAGGTCTTTGGAGACGGCTCTGGAGGAGCCTTCCGTTCCGACCCACGCCGCCGACGTGTCGGCGCAGTTGCTGTCCTGGTGGCTTGGGAGGGCGCCAAGTGGTCCCGATTAAATGGTTGGGCCTCCTGGCCGCCGTCAGACGGTCCCCACAGCGGAGCTGTTGGCCTTTTGAGTTGGCGCTCCGCAGTGTCCCTGGGGAGTTTGAGTATGTCACCGACAACCAGCCCGTCTTAGAGGAGTGGCGGCGGCGCCGTTTCTGTCACAGTAGTGGTGTGAATTCGGATTTGTGGTTTCGTATCCGCTTGGCCCTCGAGGGCCGCGAGACCGGAATTTCTGTTTTGTGGATCCCCTCCCACCTGGATCCCACGGACCCCTCCTTGTCGGAGGACCAGGTTCTTCTCGCGGCGGGTAATGAGGTTGCTGACGAGTTGGCGGGCCAGGCTGCTCAGGAGTCTTGGGACCTTGCTACTCGTGGTCAGCGCGTTCCCGACACTGATCGATGGGACGCCACTTGTTTTCTCATCCGCCAACGGGCCGCCCAAGCGCTGGCGGAATCCATCCGCGTGGCCCCTTGGACCGCGGACAGGCCCAAGCTGGGCCGTTCCACTGTCACGAAACTCCAGGCTGCCCTCAGAGGCAGCTCGCACTGTCTAATTAAAACGGGCGTGAAGTGGATTTGCTCACTCTGCTCGTCTATCTTTCCCTCGGCGAGCGTTTTCGAGGCTTGTGCCCAACCCTGCCCTGCCGTGGACGACGGCGTGCCTGAGCAGGAGTTCGGCCATGGGATATCTCGGGTGAGGCGGGCGGTGACGGTGGGGGGGGCTTCCTTGCATTCCAGTCACTGTTTGCATTTCTGGCCCGAGCATTCGTTGTATTTTGCTTTCGGTGTGGCCGATCGGCCGCAGTTGACCCGAGGCAACTTGTCAGCGAATGTTCCCAGTGCTTTAAGAAAGGGCACGAGAATCTCTTTCGAATTCGCCGAGGGTTATTCCCAGGCCACAAGGGCCCCTCGGCCCCAGTTTTGGAGGCCGACGTCAGTCGGGTCCGACGCGCTGAGGGGCGTCGGTTGATTCCTGGCACTCGCTAGTCCCGCCTGCCACTGCGACTGTGGCGATCATGACACTCATGAAACTCATCTTCCTGAGGCCGAGCACTTCATTCAGCCCAGTGCCTTCGCAGGTGTGGGCGCGGAGCAAAGCTGCCTTCTGAGGGCCACCCCAGGTGACACCCTGTCCAGCGACTGTTGATGAGACGTCGACGGTCGACGTCCCGCGCTGCCCTTGCAGTCGTTCTGGTCTGCTCCGGCTAACCCTCCCCCCCTTGCCCCCCTTACCCCTCCCTTTTCGTCGGAGGCCCCCAAACGGTGTGGTGACCACACCGCGTGGTGAGTCAAAGGGGATTCGGGGTCACAGACAACACGGTTTGGGGACTCGGGTCGTTTTCCGAGGACGTCGGGCGACTAAGGCCTCCGAGGTCCCAAGACCGTGTGACGACGGACCGCGCGGTGCGGTCTTTTGTAATTCCGAGATCACCGCTAGGTCCGTCACCAATCGGTTTTGGGACCCGCGACTTCAAGCGGGGCCAGGCCCAGGATAAATCATTCCAGAGCGTTCCCGAAGGCTTTCAGAGCGGTCCGAAGCGCTCTGGAACGGTCGCGGCGCCCGATACACTATGAAGAAGCGCCGGGCCTCAGATATCCCCGATTTACCCGATGTTGTCCTGGTCCTAGCCTCGTCTTGCGGCCCTTCCCCCCCTCCCCGTTCCCCGTCGCTCGCTGGCGGCCGATGGCTTGCGCCGAAGCAGGGCCCCGTCAACGGGGACTTGTGATAAGCCAGGGCGCTGGCGCGCCCGAGAGATCCGCACCCGTGGATCGAAGTATTGTCCACCAGTTGACGACAACAAAGAATGTGTTTGTGCCGCGTTGTGGTTTGCGATCTGCGTCGGTGGGGGCTCCTGGGGGCTCCACGATGCCCTCGGTCGCCTCCCAGGGTGCGGGTTGCAAGCCGCACCCTCTGCAGACCACGCCCCTCGGCGCCGCCGAATCCGTCGCTCTCTCCGGGCGGAAGCTGACAGGTCCCGGCCCGCCGCGCCATAGCTTCGGGGGCCCTGGCAGGACCGCCTGCGAAGGCCGCCTGCGAGATACTCGTACGATCCGATGCAGTTCGATTCGCCGCGTGTGAGGCCGCGATGCCGATTCGATTCGATTCGGTTCGATTCGTCGGTATTGTGTGGGGTCAGCCAGAGCCGGGCGCGGCGATTTCATTTCGATTCGATTCGGGACGATCCGCTGGCGATCCGACCCGTTCGTCCGACCCGTAGTACGCTTTCGCGACTCGATCCAGCTCAGGCGTGCCTGGCCGAAGCCCGCGGCGCCTGCCCTCGGTCTGCACCGGAGGGGGGCGCGCGGGAGGTCCAGGAGCGAAAGAAGGACGCACACGCACATGAATCGCGCTGGTCTTGAGCGCACGCACTGCGTACATGGTCGTATCACGCGGATCGAGGGGCCGTCTTCGTGTACCTAGCCGTGCTCCTGTACAGAGCTGGGCGCGCACGTTCTTTTGTAGGGGAACAAAAAAGCAACATAAACATAAAAAACTTTGAGGTCCGCGCGGATTTCTCGGCTCGGCGCTGGGCCCCCCCGGCGGCGCCTCCGGCGCCGCCCTTGGCGCGCTCCGCGCGCCAGGGAGGGGGCCCCAGCGCCGATCCGAGAAGTCCGCGCGGACCTCCGAGTTTCTGTGTTTACGTCGCTCTTTGTTCCCCCATTTTTCTGTGGGCTCCCTTAATCTTGGCATCGCTCGGACGTGTGCATTTTTCCTTCGGCGAGGACCATCGAGGAGCATCCTTGATGATTTGGCGAAAACACCACGCACGAAACCAAACAAAAACACAGGGAATGGACGTCCGAGCGATGGCCGGTCCTAGGGCGGGGCCCGCTCGGGCCGCGCGGCGCCCCCCCCCGCGGCAGCACCACCTGGCGGCGTGCCCTCGGCGCCCTCCCCCGCGGGCCTCCGCCGCAGGCCCGGCGGCGCCGCCCCGCCCGTCGCCGGCCTCGGGCGCGCGGCCGCTGCATGTCTCGGGCCGGGCGAAAGGGGGGGATTGGGAAAGGGGGGGTTACGAAATTTGCTGCATGCAGCTGGTTTCGGCCTCACCGAGGGGCCCATTCCTCGATACATTGGCGCCTCCCGGCGCCGGGAGGCGCCGGGAAAATCAGCTACGCTAGCTGATTCTCAAACCCCCCCTTTGCTATCCCCCCCTTTCGCCCGACCCGAATGTCGGGGGGGGGGGGAGAAGACACACAGGCGCAGAGTTTGATCGTCGATCCCCAGGGAGCAGAGGCGAGCATGTGGGGCGGGGGGGGGGGGCGACGAAGAGCCCCCCAAATGCGGAAACATAAGGGGGGAGTCCTGGGAGTTGTGTGTGTGTCCCTGGGCCCCTCCAGCCTGCCCCACGGCCCCGCGGCCTCGCTCGCCAGGGAGGGGCCCTCGGCGCGCAGCGGCGCTCGGGGGGACGGCGGGCGGGGGGCCCCCGAGATCCTGGGCGTCGAGGGTGTATCGGGCGGGGCAAGCGGTCTCGAGCCCGGGAGCCCTCACAGATCGAGCCGGCTCGAAAAATGACACAGGAAGACAGGGTCTGGGGGCGTTTCCCCGCTTGGGGGGGGCTCCCATGGGGCCCTCCAGGGGCTCCCGGGAGTGCCGAGGAAACGGCTCAGGACGATGAGCTGGTCCATGGGAGGGATGGCCCCTGGGGTCCAGGGCCCGTTTCCCACCTCGGAGGCGTCGCAACTTCGTTCGAGCCGGGCGTCTTCGAACAGTTTCGGGCCCCATGACCCTCGCAGGTCGATGCGGCTCGAAAAGTGACGCAGAAAGATAGGGTACAGGGCTCTGGTCCTGATTTTTTGCGATGTTGCCATGTTTCGCCACGTCGGATCTCAGGGTCAGGATCCGTTTTCTTCATGCCAGCTCACCCTCGGCAGCCTGCCTGCCCTCGCTCGTGGCACCGCCTGCTCGTCGATCTGTGCCTTCTCTTCTCTCGCGTATTCGAGTCCGCGTGGGTCTAGTGTCATGCAGTGGCTAAGCGTCTTGACGTGCTTATAGGCCTACCAAACAATGTTCTAAGAACCGTTTGTGGTTTCCAGAACATGTTCTCAGAACATGTCTGGTTGGGAGTTTCTTGTTTTATCACATCGGGTTCATGTTCTAAGAGCATTGTTTTTGTTATTAGAACATTGTTGGGTTCTGAGAACATGTCGTGGTAGGCATATGCTCAATGGTGGGTAGAGCGGCCGAGCTCGACCCGCGGCCGCGCAGGTCGCCCGAGCCTGCTCGTCAAAGCCAGGCCTCTCTCTCTCTCTCTTTCTGTTTTTCCCGCTTGCCCTCCCCTTCGTGTTCCTTCCCTGGGCGCGCTCGAGCGTTTTGGTCTCGTTGGCGAACGAGGCATCCGTATCCACGGCCTCGCGGGCCGGGCCCCCGGGCCGCGACCCTGCGGATACGAACGTTTTTCGCGGATGGCCCGATCGGACTGTAGCCGTGCGGCCGCGTGTCTGCGGGACCGCGCTTCAGAATCCAGACCGCGATGGCGTGGATGTGGATGTGTTCGCCGTTTCTTGGATGGGCTGCCATACCCCCAGCGACCCGCAGGCGAGAACAACCCCATCCCGGGGAAGTGGCAGCCCCCGCTCTTCGCGGCCGCGGCTCCCCCGGAGGCCGCCCTCCTCGTCCCAGTGGGGGGCGGTTGCGCGCAGGGAGGGCGCTGAGGCACTGAGGCCCTCCCATCCCTCCTCCCGTCTCTATCCCTCCCTCCCGCCCTCCCGCCCTCTTCCTCCTCTCCCTCTCAGTCTCCCTCGCCCCCTCCGCCTGCGCCTCCGCCTCCTGCGTCTGCCCAGTCCTCGCCCTCTCCTCCTCCTCCTCCTCCTCCTCCTCCCCCCCCCCACCGAGGGGGTGGAGCACCGAGACTCCTCATCATCAGCATCATCACAGTGGCCCCGTGGAGAGATCTGAACCTTGCTGCTGCCGACGCTTGAGCGACGCCGCTGCCGCTGCCGAAGCTCGCTGTCGCCGCATCGTGGTGGGATCATCCTCATCATCATGAACATTTGGATGTTTCTTCAATCTACACGGGGCGTTCTTTATAATATAAGAAACCGGTATTGATCTGGCGTGCTGCATGTTGTTTTGCGTTTTGAGGTCCCGACAAAAAAGTTCCAAACGCTCTAAAGAAAGGATTTTGATTTCCGTTTTGAGCCCAAGTTTGTTGTTTGAAGCGTCTTTGGCTCAATGACCTCGTTGTTTAGAACTGTCGTCTACCACTTTCTGAGTTCCTTCTCCTTGCGTCCCGTCCACCCAGCATTTCCAGAATAATCATGTTGCTTTTCTCTGGTCGTCGCTGCCGGCTGGTCGCAGGGCCTCCGGACCTGTGCCGCGACGATGTTCGACTGGTGTTGGGGCGTTGTTGTTTTTTTAGCTGTGCCCGCGGAGCGGGAGGAACGGGAGGCGGCAGGAACGGGAGAACGGGAGCGAAGGAAGGCAGTGAAGACAGGAAGCAGCCTTCGACACAGAAGCCCAAAAACGCTTAGAAAGAGAGATCCACACAGCGACGGGTCCGAACACGATCAGGAAAATAGTGAAACACATTGAAGCGATGTTGCATTGTTGTTTGCGTTCTGGGCGCGTCAAGAGCCCAAAGTGCAAGACGGTACAAGCAATGCCCACGGCGTGTTTGGTGTTGTTCTATGTGGTGGTAAACAAGCCAAGGTCAAGACCACCAACATCATCAGCCTCCTCATCAACATAACCATCACATCATTATCGATATCGTCGTCGTTGTCGTCATCATCATTCGCATCATGGCACTCCCTCTCTATCTTGCCCCCTCCATCTCCAGCGCCGAGGCTCCGAGGGGAAGGAGCATCGATGCAGCAAGGGATTCCCTCCGACGGTCTCATAGTCGTCGTCCTCCTCATCATCATTCTCCCCCTCCCGTTTTCTCTCCATCCCCATCTCCATCCTCCTCTTCCTTATGATCCCCTCGTCAGTCCCAGGGCTTGAGTGGCAATACTTATTGCTCGACCTGAGTAGGGTTCGACTGCGGAGCCGTCGCGAGACAAGAACACTTCACACAAGTTTGCTCTCTACCGCAGAATGGGTGCCGGGGACGAGATCGAGAGCTCCGAGACCCGCTCCGTGAAAGAAGGCGTTGCCTCCACTGAGAGGCTTCAGGGAGTGGTTTCAGGTGGTATCTCGGGGGTCGCTGGGCCGAACAGGAGTTTTTGCCCCGCTGTTTTTGTTGTCTCCCCCTCGCTTCCGTCTTCTCGGAGAGACTATCGGCACGTCGCGTGCACTGTGGACCTCGTGCCCTTCTTTGCACTGCTCGCCTGGTTTGGTCTCTTTGGCCTAGTCGGTTTTCGGTCTGTTTGAGAAGCGTGTATTTGGACTCTGGCGATCTGACAGCCGCCATGCGCTCCGCCTCACTCTGCGGTTGTGGCGCAGCCTTGCTGTGGTGGTGTGCAGTGCTCGAGGCTAGAGTATGCGTACTCGCTCGTCTTGTTGACAAGCGAGAATGTCTCTGCGTCCGCTTTAGCGCTGTACCTTCACCATCGTTGGATGAACAGAGGCAGTGTCTGTTCATTGACCCGTGTCTGCTGCATTCAGCAGTGACAGTATGCATCGGTCCATCGTGGCCCATCGTGGGCCCCCATCGCGTGGCCCCACCATCGTGGACTGTATAAAGCTATTCAGTGCATCCTGCCGCGCGGATGTCGTTTCGCCAACATGTGTTTGTCCATGGTGGTGGCACCTGTGCCGCTGGGTGCCCTCGTGGCGTCCCAGGAAAACAGGCGGGTTGGCAGCCCGATCGTCACCACAGCTCGACGGGGCTGTGGGAGAGACTCTTGCCCTGTGGTTGGCCAGCCACAGTAGGTGCGGGCCCGCCGTACCACCCCTGAGAGGCCCGATGGGGTTACTCGAAGGGGTCCTCCGACGTGGGGGGCGCGGGAACTTTTGTCCCTGGGCAGCGGGGCCTCCGCTGCTTGAGGCCGGCGGCCAAGTGGGGGTGGTGCCGGTGGCCGTGTCTCGGGGTGGCATCTCGAGGCACCTCGCAACGGCGGCGCGGATAACGCCTGGGGCGGGTCCGTGCCGCCGTTCGTGTTGCGAGGTCCGACTGCATGTGAATTCATGCAGGCACCTTGGGCACCTCCCTTCGGGTTGTGTCGCCCAGGTGTTTTGTCCGGGCAAAAAAAATGTTTGTCCATGGTGGTGTTTCACTCTCTCGGCTTTATTCCATTCACACAACGATGACGAGCAGGAGCAATCGTGTAGTAGGTATCTTTCTGCTCACGCCCTGTCCTTCAGAAGATCACCCATTTGACCTTCTTCAGAGCGCTTTCAAATCACGATTTCGAGGCTGACCAAGCCACGGCGGCGAGATTTCCCCCGCACTGCCAGGATGGCCCACCCCCAGCCAGGAGGCCAGAAACTGAATTGACATAAAATCCTCAGCCCTCCTCCCTCCGCTTCTTCCTCTCCTCAATGCCTCCCGACCCCGTCCCTCCCGCTCTCTCTCCCCCTGGACCTGCCTCTGCGGTGGCAGGCCACCGTCCTGGTCTCCTCCCCCTCCTTCGCCTCCGCCAACCCCCCCCGTCCTCCGACAACGAGGACGAAGACAGCGGCGGCGACGACGCCAGCCCATCGACGGTGGAAACGCCGACGACGACGACGACGACGACGACGACGACGACGACGACGGCGGCGACGACGGCGACCGCCGCGACGACGACGACGACGACGACGACGACGACGACGACGACGACGACGACGACGACGACGACGACGACGACGACGGCGACCGCCGCGGCGACGACGACGGCGGCGACACCAGCGACGACGACGACGACGCGCGGCGGGCGCGTGGAGGCCGCCGTCGCCGCTGGGCCCGCGGAGGCCACCGCGCGCGAACGCAGTAGGTCGCCGAGGAAGTGAGGTCTGCCGCGGCCGGCGCCGGCGCCGTCGTCGCCGGCGCAGACGCTGTCGCCCTCCTCCCTCCTGCGCCCTCCTCCTCCCTCGTGCTCCTCCTCCTCCTCCTCCTCCTCCTCCTACTCCCTCTTTCCTCCCTCTCCTCCTCCCTCTCTCCTCCTTTTCCTCCTCCTCATCCTGCCCCGTCGGGCCGTCCTCCCCCTCAACTACTTCGTCTTCGGCCACTCGTGGGTGTTCGTTAAGTCGTTGGACTTCAGCACCTCCTTCGCGCCCGGAATCAGCCTCTGAGTGTTTCCCTGTGGGCGACCCCGCGCTCCGCGGAGTGACCTACCTACCTACCTACCTACCTACCTACCTTCCTCCTCCTCCTCCTCCTCCTCCTCCTCCTCCTCCCTCCTCCTCCTCCTCCTCCTCCTCCTCCTCCTCCTCCTCCTCCTCCTCCTCCTCCTCCTCCTCCCCCTCCCACTCCGCCTCCTTCACGGACTGGCCAGCCTTCGATGGCTCAATCCCGTCCTCGGGGTTGGCGGGATGGTCGGTTGTGGTGGTTGATTGGGACGGGAATGTGCTCCGTGTACTCTGGGGGATGGTGCCGCTGGACGAGGCCCCCCTCCAAGCGGGGGGGCCGGCTCCCCCCTGGGGTCCCGCCCCCCACCCCTCTTTTGGACCCTCCCCGGGACCACCCCCTTGGGCCCCCAGTCGGCGGGGGCGGCAAAGAGGGGGGTGATGACTAGGGATGGGTAGGTTTCATGGCGCGGGCCATGATTTTTTCTCAGATTTCATGGCGCAGCAGCTGCGATTTCATGGCGCCATGAAATAAGAAGCTGCGCCGCAGCTTCTTATTTCATTACGTCCATGGTCCCCCCGCTGGGCCGCGTACGTGCCGCCGGTAATGATGTGCATCATGATGTGCACCCCCCCCCTCTTGGACACCCCCCTCTTGGCCGCTCCCGACACTCGGCGGGGAATGGACAAAGGGAAGGGGCTTGCTTTCGCCGTGATTGCGACACTGTTCGATCCCCTTTGTTGATCAGATCTTCCTTGCGACGGCGACGATTCAAAGGGGGCTGGAATACTTTCGTTTGGGAAAGGCTGGCCTCGCGTCGATGGGGACTACGGCCTCGGCGGATTTCGACTCCGTGCCGATTCGGCCTGGCCCGACGCACATTCCGGTTCCATCCGAGTTCCCGATTCGATGTTGGCCAAGATGGGGTGGGGGGCGGAGCAGGGGGGCGCGAGCTTGGACCATGGGGGGGAGAGCTGCTGCCCAACGGGGGTGCACGCCGGGGACGGTGGGCGTGGCCCCTTGGAGGGGGGAGAGGGCCACGGCGTGATGGCGTGATGGGGGGCAGGCTGGGGGCTCAAGGAGGGGAGGGGGGGGGGCGGGCGGGGGGAGCGCGGAGGGGGTGGGCGTGGCCCCGTACCAGGGGAAAGAGGGCCACGGCCTGGGGGGGAGGGGGGGGGGCAGACCAGGGGCAGGGCGGGGGAGAGGACGAGAACGCACGACCACGAGCGAAGGAACGATCGGGAACGCAGCTGTGCATATGAGAACGTGCTGGCGCGGGACTGCCCGAACATGGCCTCGAGGGCTGAACGCTTCTGCGGCGAGGGGAGCTCCTGGCAGTGCCCCGCGCTCCCGCCCATACCCTGCCTCGCCGCTGCCCTCTGTTTCCCGTGCCCTGGCGCTTCGTGGAAGCCTTCAGAGTGAATTTGCATAGGACACCTGCTCGAAGCCCTTCAGTGCCTGACGATTATTCTGGCAACCGACCCTTCGCTGCGCGGCGTATGAGAAAGAATCGACACGACCGGGCATCCCTCTAGTAGCAGCGCGCACCAGGGGGCGGGGCGAGGGGGGCGGTCGACCGAGAAACTATCAACCTTGCCCGAGAAGCCCTCCCGCCTCTGGAGAGGCGGCTCCGGGAGCTCCCCAGAGAAGGCAGAACCCTCAGTGGTGTCTTCCCACTGCGTGCTCAGAAGGCCGCCCCCATCCCCGCCGCCCCTTTTCGGCGCCAGCTGTCCATCAATCCCCTTCCCTCCCCTCCCATCTCCAACGGTCCCTCCCATACCCTCCCTTCCCCTCCCATCCCCTCCTATCCTCCTCCCTTCCTGTTCACCTCCCTGTCCCCCCCCCCCGCTCATGTGACCTGGCTGGGCCTGCACCCCTCTCCTGTCCTGTCACCCTCACCTCCCTCCTCCTTCGCTCTCCCCCTCACTCCAACTCCGTCCCTAGCTCCCTGGCTCCCTCCGCCCTCCCCGCCTAGATGGGGCGTCGCACGTGTCCTTGCTCAGGAGGCTTATGCCATCCCGCTGACCCCTCACAACAGGGAACTTGTCACCAGTCGCCCGTCTTTCTGTGCGTGGTTTCGGTTCGGGTACCTTCAGACAAAGAGAATATGCGGGTGAGTCTCGCACGCCTTTTGCCTCCGGAAGCGGGCGTTGGTTGACTTCCCTCTCCTCCCTCGTTCCCTCCTGTACTCGCTTTCTCCCCCCTCCGCAAATTCAAGGGGCGTCGTCATTGTATCGCTTTCGTCGTCCAGGGCTGCTTGTCCATTATTCGGGCAGCTCCTGTCCCAGAGTGCCTTGAGCCTCTCGCGGTCCTTCGGTGCCTTCCGGCGGGTACTGTGTCTTGTGCAGCTGTCGTCGTCATGCAATCCAGGGGCACCGTTGGTGTGCAATGTGTATTGCAGCTCTCTGAGTACGTACGGGAATCTGGATGCCGCACCTTGTTCAGGCCCTGGCACGTTTGGCGTAGTGTTTTTGCTTAGCCGTTTGGGCTCAAGCGATTCGACGGGCGTTCGAAGAGCGTGGACCCTGCGTTCCACGTTCGACGTTCGAGCCAGGATTCGCCGCTGCCGCCCTCCTATTGGGTTGCAACTTCTGGGAGGTCGATTTAAGCATCCGCCCTGTTATTTCATGGGTGCAAATCCACCCTGGTATCTCTGCCGTGTTAATCCATCCTGGCCCGATCTCATGCAATGTAGTCTGGCTGAGTCGCCCCTTCGTTGCATGAAACATTGATTGAGAAGGCCTTACAGCCGGCCCCGCCGACCGTGAAGGGGGACGACGACGACGGCGGCGGCGGCGACAACGATGACGACACTGACGTGGGTCGGAGTCCTCAGGGATGCTTCTTGGGGTCTCTTCGGGGCGCTCTCGCGGGCCTCTTGGGGGCAGTTTTGGGGTTGGGGAGCCACTTGGGGGCCTTTTGGGGCCTCCTGGGAGCCTCTCGAAATTTCCGTTCGGGTCCCCCGTCTGGGCACAATCTTGGAGCCAGCTTGGGACCTTCTTGGGCCGTCTTGGATGCCTCCTGGGCAGTTTTGGGGCCCTCTTGGGTCGTTTCTGGGCCCTCTTGGAGGCATATTGGGACGTCTTGGGGCGATCTTGGGGGCCCTTTGGGTCGTCTTCGAGCGTCTGGAAGTTGATTTTCACTAGTAACAGTCTTCATTCATATGTCAAGTGTATAGGGCAGCAATGTCCCATGTGACGTTTCCGAGTTGCTGTCGATTTGGTAGCAGAGGAGTCACATAGTTACTCCTGCGGTTGGCCCTCATATTGGGCATTCGTATTTCATTCATTGACACGGTCCGCGTGACCGCCATCAACCCCGACTATGAGCCCACACTCCATCCGCGACTCGGTTGCTGTTGCTCTTATTTCTAATATGGATGATCACGGAAACGTTGTCGAAGCATGACAGCTAACACGAGAGTCTCAACGCACTTCCACTATGCTGAAGGCCTTCTAACCTATCAGTCGTGTAGTCACTCCGAAAAGGAGAAACGGTCACAATGCCCCGAGCATGGCTAAAAGGCTACGCGGAAGCGCGCTAGGCCTCCAACCACGACGTCTGACCGCACCCACTAAGGCAGGCATTGCGCGCGGAAACAGACCACGGCTGAAACGAGGGGGGGGGTGTTTATCTATGCCATCATACGGTTGTGCATCGGATCGGTTCTCGGGTGCTTGCGCCGTAATGGAGGCAGCGGCAACGACGCACCCCGTATTGGGTCTCAGCGTGGAACGCTTCGTTTCAGGATTCTGTCTCGCGCGCAAGATCGCCATGCGCATCCCTCCAGGCATCACACACTTCCGCATGAACACCAGAGGCACTCACGCCGATCCTGTCACCAACATAATCTTCATTCTGAACATGAATTTCGAGCACCTCGAGGATGAGTAACAACTCGCCTCATGTACTCCACCGATCGTCGTCCACGTGCCTCATAGCGAGCGCATCGATGAATCCTGGCCAGGGTCGCGATAGCGCGCCTACAGGCACAACTGGCTGGATATTCGACATTCCGAACTTTCAAGTTTTCATGGCCGTGCTGATCCGAGCCTTGGGAGTTGGCACACGGAGGTTCTTACGCAACTACTGCAACAACTGAACCACCAGATGCCACGCGCTGAGGTGGACTACGGAGCCCTAGTCGAGCGCGCGCGGTCCGTCTGACACATCGCTGAGCGCCCAGCAGGGAATATCGGATCCGCACTCGGACAAGACCGAGGTGGCAACAGCCAAACTCACCACACATTCGCCACTGACACTTCGGAGCCTGGACAGACTGTGCCAGCGAAGGCGCCGTTCTGCTTGCCTGCCCACATGCATCCAACACCACGAAGGACTCGTGGACCTGGCGCAGTGGTCGCACTGCGACAGCTCCCCAGCATACCTCCACCCTTTGAGGCGAGGCGAAGGCTTCGGAGTCAACATATGCCGCCAACCTCAACTCTGACTCTGGCACTGACTCCGACACTGTCTCATCCAATGGTACCGAGCCTCCAAAACATGGAAAGCAACGAACACATTGCAGAACATCGACCTTGGCCAATAGAAAAAGCTAAACGGAGATGAAGGAGATTCAATCGCAAAACAGTGCGACGAGTTAAGACGGACGATTAGAAGGGGGATGGTCGGGGGGCAAAGATAACAGGCAAGGGAGGGTGGATGCGCTTACACGGACGGGGCATTGCTGGATTGATCGCTAAGTTCTCAGATCATCAATGCG